CGGAGCCCATTGTCTCTGCCACTGTGGCACTCCCTCCCACGGACGCCCTTCCTCGTTTTCACTGTCCCTCCGCTTTCCCAGGCATGATGTCCTCTTCCCGTGACTGGCCTCTCCTGACAACATGTCCAAAGCATGTAAGGTGATGATAATTAATGCTAGTATCTACCTAATAAGATTTTTGTGAGCTTTAAATTGGTATATATGCAATGTATCTGGGAAAGCCATGCCTGCCATATGGTAAGAATTTAATACATGTCGAGAATTTAAAAAAATACGAATCCTGTGGCTCTTACTTTCACTTTGATATGCCTTTATGTTTAGGAGAGGAAGGGAGGGAATTACAGCTAGCCATCAGGGAATAGCACGTGACTGAAAACACTTCATCTTACGCTACAGAGAGCTATGGTTACTGATGAACTGTTGATGGTTCAGCATCTGTTTGCAAAGAGGAGTGCGCTCCTGAGAATAGGCCATGAGGAGAATATCAACTTTGTGTCTCTCAAAGTAGAATTGAAATGTTAAAATTCACCTAGAGACTAATAGAAGAGCTCACAGCACAAGTGCTGGGGCCAGGTGGCTGGTTTGATCCCCAGATCCATGTCTTACTCATTATGTGACTAGAAGCAAGTTCCCACGCTTCCTTAAACTCAATTCCTTACGCGCAAAGTAAGAGTAATAATAGCATAACCTGCCCCAAGAAATAACATGAGATTAAAAAATGCAACATGCCCCGCACAGTACCAGGTAATGGTTCATGCTCTAGGAGCACATTGATCACAGCAGTTCTATTTAGAATCTGCAAATTACAAAATGTTCGCATGGTTCAGAGGTCAAGAATCTACCAAAGCTCTACAAAGCCTTGAGTTCCCCACTCATGAGATGGTTGTGAGGATGTGTAATATCACATGCACAGTATTTAGAAAATTATATTCCTCCCACTTACGTCCTCCCTACAATTCTAGGTTCTCAAAATGCAAGTATCTCAGTTAAATTAATTATCAAGAATCAATTCTGACTCATGATTACCTCATAGGTGTGAGAGTAGTGCTGCACTCTCTAAGGATTTCAATGCCAGATTTGGGGGATTTAAAATAGATCACCAGGACCTTCTCCCAAGGTCCCTCTGGGTGAATTCAAACTCCCAACCTTTCAGTTACTGATCAAGCACATTACCCATCTGCATGACCCAAGGATTCCTATATTTGAGCATGGAGTCATACCAGAATGAGTCAAAAGTCTTGCTTTTAGGGTTTAGCATTCTTGTCACCATTCTTTGATGGGAACAAGGGCTGCCCTATGAGAACTTTGCTGGGAAACCTCAGGCCATCCATTCCACAACCCTGACCTTGCCCCCAAAGAACACTGAACAGGAACATGGCTAAGGCCCTCGAGGATGCCAGAACCATCATTTTGATGTGGTGTAAACCAAAGACCACGGAACCCATCTGGGAAGGGTTCTCACTGCCACTGAGTTGTTTCCAAAATGCCACCTTCAGAAGTGTGTAGACTTAGATGGAGGATATGCTTAGAAAAAAATTGCTTCAGTTGACATTTGTTCAGTAGATATTTCTATGATTTTGTACCAATGCTTTTTGACCTACCCTCATGTTTCATCTTACTATTCTCCCTTCCTTTTAAAAAATGATACTGTTTATTATAAGTACTGTTTTGTAGTTGGCTCTTTTCTTTTTGCTTACCAAAACTCCCAGGAAACATTTGTGTATCGGTAGAGAGGGTCACCTCTCTTCTCATTGAAGCTCCTTAGTTTCCCAGTCACTTGCAGTTCAGGTAAGCAGTTCCTGATTGGTGAATAGTTGGGTTGTCCTCAAACTTTTGTATGGCAAACAGTGTTGCAATGAATACTCACGTGCGTACATGATTTTGTAAGTGGATAGGCACAGCCGCGGGATGTATTCCCAGAAGTGATACAGCTAGGTCAAAAGTGAAACAGCTCCGTGATGTTGCTGCAGTTGCTCAATGGCCCCACTAGGGCTTGTGTTAGTGTGCACTTTCACCAACGAGACTGG